TCCTCCACACCTGTGGGACACTGTGGACAACACTGTCCCTCTACTTTTATCGGATTACTGCAGCCCACTGGCTTACATAAGCTCTCCACACATTCCCGGACACCATTGTCACAGCGGCATTTCGTACAAAAATGGTTTTCATACCACTCGCTGCCATGTAACTGCGGTTCCTGCAAGTTATCGGAGTAACAACTGCGCTCCGTCTCCTGCTGCTCCATTTCGGGGCATTCGTTGTGACATAGCTCTACACCTTTCGGACCGTAACAGCTGCAGCGTGTACAAGCATTTTGCCAGTAAGTCTGAACAACGGTTGTATCACCGCATACCGGTTTCGGTTCGCAAGCATATCGCGGACAGCAATCACCTGGGGAACCAGCAGCTTCGTGAACCCTAATAGCCACTTCACCTGTGGAGCATTGTGGTATCGCCTCACAGGGTTTACATTCGCAATCACTCGATACACTGGAACGGCGAAGCCTTCGTCGGCGTCGCCGATTTTCTTCCGCTACACCGACACAACATATTCCCAACAGACGGTGGTGCTCATCAAGATCATCCATATTTGCGTTGTCAAATACCAGTTCACGTTTAAATTCCTTTTTGGGCTCTAAAAACTCTGTACCCAAACTGTCCGCGGACTGAGTTGACGTTGTAGTTGTAGGCGAGGTTGTAGCTGTGCCTGTGCTGGCATTAGTTGGCGCCATAACAGCACTCACGCGCAACGGCAGTTCATCGTATTGATGGTTAATTACATCAGCTGGATTGACGTCATCATCGTAGAACTCATGTGGTGGCAAAAATTCATCAGGACCATACAGTACATCGACAATGGGCGCTGGGTGTCGCTCCACGCTATCTGGCGGGCAGAGGCTAGTTTCCACAGGACATTGCACCTGACTGCAGTCATCATCGAAAGAAACTAAAAGATAAAAATAGATAAGAATGTAGTATGAGTTAAAGAATGCGTATACTTTTGCCATGAAAAAAAAAAATAGAAATTACAATAAAAATGGAAAAAAGGTGGTTCGATCGAAGGCGGATTGAGTTATTTGGGGACCGGGAAAGTGGACAGACATTCTTCGGCCAGTTTCGATAACATCACAATCATTAGTAGCGCTCTTATTGCTTTTTGGCTGTCAAAGTTGATAGTTACGCAACTAATCGGTATTTCACTGATATGCTGTCCCTTAATCGGCTCCTGTAAAGCGACCACATCTACTTGAAATACGCTACATAAATCCTGTTACTGACAGAACACGCTTAGGCCAACTCTTCCATCTAACTTCAACCCGCCCATGAATATATTTAGTGCGTCTATTTTCTACAGGCTGCCCCAATACAATTAACTTATTAAAGGTTAAAGGGAAGTGGGTGGCAATGATCTAGTTGTTAAGCGAAACACACTTCGGTACTCAACGATCCATTTCTTCAGGTATGAAGTCGGACTTTTCCAAAAATGCGCTCTAACTTTTTAGCTAGTGTAGACTTTTCCAGAAATATTTACGAGACAATGACACTAATCAACGCAATTCGGTTGATTATGGTTTCACACATCTAGTAGACTAGCTTTAGAGGGACCAGAAAGTAGCACGCTGTGTAGGATCACGTCCATATACTTAACCTTATCAGAGAGCACATGTGAAATGCCATGGATTGAGGAAAGCTGTGCATTAGGAACTTTTTATCTCTTGGCGAAGAGCATGAGCTTTCTACAGGATTCATTTCGAGTATGTAGACCTGTGTAAGATCAAACAATTTTCAAAAATTTCTTCTTACGAAGAGCACCACGTCGTCAGCGTGGTCTATAACTCGAACACCTCTCTTTGTGTGAGAACTACTCTCCCTGTGCGGTATCTCTAGTTATGAAAGTTGGCGCTGCCTCCTAATATGCTGGAGCTAGTCGTTTGCCTGGGTGGATTACAGGGGTGGATTTAGCATTTCTCTGACTATCAATACATACATACATATGTATTACAAAATGTTGATAAGGCTCGCAACTATACAAAACTTAGGTGCCCCTCGCAGATTGAATTTTTGTGCAGCATCTTGCCCCTGCCCTTCACAGGCATGTTGGCAATAGTACCACACTCTAAATAAACTGTCATTGCATTTTACCAAGTAGTTTGTACCTTAAAACATGAGGCATCATGTGGCATGTGTGTATGTACAAAATGTAGATGGGGCCAACCAACCAGGCGTATGAGTAATCTTCCGTTGTATATGTATTTGCTGTTGCTTTACGTAGAATACTTAATTCTTTGCACAACTGCTATTGTTTTAAGCTCTTCTTTTGCATACTTTTCTATGTGCATATACATATACATATATATACATATGTGTGTGTTGCATGTGCAATGTTGTCGCTTGTTGACAGCAAATTGACATTTCAGCTTTCCTGCATGCTGCGGTTGCAAACGAAAATGTAAACAAACAAACTGAGACGTCCTGTATTTGCGCAAATTCTTTGATACTCACATTTGCTTAGCTACACACATTATTGATGTGTGCTGATATGTGTGTGTGTGTGCATGTGTGATTGTATGTGCATATTTGGTTTGGCTGCATGCTTTTGATATGCAGATTTGATGCTGTATGTGTAAATGCATACCTGATAGCCAAGTCCTTGCATAGCATGGATTATGCCGCACAATGCTTTCAAGTACTTTTTGTGGGGAGAATTAAAAAAAAAGAAAATACGACAAATACAAGATCAACTTAAACAATGCAAACAAGTCTGCATTCATTGAATATCCTTTCTGCAACATTTTCTACATTCAATGTTTACTGATTTAAATCATTCGATATCAATTGCCACAAATGTATGTACTTCGATACGTCCTTCCAAGGAACCAGTTAACCAACGGTAACCTCGGCGGCAAGCTGAAAATTATCGCCTCGCTGGTAAAAGAGGGAGTTCCACAAAATCTGTGCATATTTGCGAGCGATTTTAATGTCTACCTACGAGAAGACGTTTTTCCCAATAGCTGGAAGCTGCTGAAATTGATTCTTATACCGAAAAATCATGGTAATTTGTCTCCCACTGGATATCGTCCACTGTGCATGCTGGACCTCACCGGAAAGCTGTTTAAGCTTTTCATTAAAAACCAGTTGTAAACCCAAGTAGAAATGTGTCAAGCGACTAGATCGGCTCTAGGAAAAAACTATCTATCACCGACACGATCGAGGTCGCAAAAGTAAAAACCGAAAAGGCTATAGATGATGGCAAACGACTCATGATAGTTAGGTGGCACCAAAGAATACTACCAAGTCAATGCATATACAACGCAGCATCTCTAGGTTTACTAAAAAGTCACAGTTGGTGTGCCACAAGGATCCGTGTTAGGTGCCCTCTTGATTAGTATCAATCATTGTGATTGCAAAATGCACACGGAGGTGGTAGTTGCTGCGGAGCATGCTATAGCAGAGGCTTGCCCATAACACGGTAGTCGTACTCATAAATCGCCGTAAAAAGGTGGAGAAAATGGTCATCCGAGCGGGTGACTGCAACATAAAGCCCAAGCCATGCGCGAAGCACTTAGGGGTATTGGTGGATCATCCGCTTATTTTCCGTGACTACTTAGAGTATTCTAGTAAAAAAGCTGCGATTGTAGAGGAAGCCCTGGCTAGAATAATGACACACTTTGATGGCAGCTGGCCAGACGGGTTCCGGCTGGAGTGCAAACTCCACGTATCGCTTGTGTACTTCTAGAGTTTGCTCTGAATTAATCATTGCTGGCCTATGTTCTATGTAATGGCGGAACATGTACTTCTTCTATGCACCCGTTTCAAAAGACTAATGAGCAAGGCAGAAGATCGCCTTGGCTTCTCCCTGAAATGATACCAACAGTGAGTGCTAACAAGTAGATTCCATTAGGACAGTCAAATAGCCTACTGATCAAACCGCCACACGACGTAATACTTGACGGTAGTGCGGGCGGTAATCGCCGGTAGGGTTAAAGTTCCACACCGAAGGAATAAATTATTGATGCTTCCTTCTCGTTGAAAAGACTCCCTTCCAATATCTGCATTGCAATAAATTCCTTCCTTTCCTTTGCTTCTACTCATTTCGTAACCTGCGTAGACTCGTACATTAATTTTATATTGCTTTAAAGTGTTTTAGTTTGATATGTCCTGCAACTTTGTGTGTAGTGATTGTACTAACATCCATTTCTGCTTAGCTCAATCAATCTTTCAATATTTGCTGACTTTTTGTACAACAAAAATTTGGATTATTTCAAGTCTAATTACAATAGTAATTCGTTTTCTTTGTCACTATTGTAGAAGATTGTGTAAATTTACATTTGAAAAGTCACTTTGATTAATTAAATGCCTAGAGCTTTTGTTTGGGTGGTTTAATTTGTGGTTGTGAGTTAAGAATTTTTTAAAATATTTTACAAAGAAAAATTACAAAAATTCGGAATATAATTTTAGTTAAGAATTAGTAGACAATGCGATTTCCAATAAGTATATTATGAAAAGAAAAGTTTGCAATCTCTTTTCAGATTTGGTTTAAGACAACGATTTTTGAAAGCACAACCAACCAAAAAGATACTTTTAAAAGTAAAATTAAGTAAAATTTAAGGGTGATGGGATATCAAAAATCGAATACCAAGGTTAACGTTCAGCCCACAGAAAAACAAGCTAGCGAGAATCGTAACAGCTGATTCTGAAAGCCATTCTGTATGCTTACCTATTAAACTAAGAGCTCTCTGACGCCTGATGGTGTAAGATATATTGCTTTTAGGATAATATATGCTTCGAAAACGTTTTCAATCCTCTACTAGAGTAGAGTACAAATAAATTTTTTCAAAAGCAGTTCGCTTGTGGCAAAAATCTACCAATGCGTTCTTTTCCTGGAAAACCTGCTTGGCTGGGCTCCTATTTCCATACACTTTACCTTTATAATCCACTGACCTGGAGACCAAATGATATTAAAACAGCTATTTTTAGCCACGTCTTGTAGAAATCAGCTACAGTTAATAGTGCCAGACCACACATCCCCAAATTCAGCGGGTCTGTTTTTTGAATACGAAAAAACTGTACCAATTCTTTCGGTTCCGAGTTCATTTATAGCCTCCAAAATGTGTAGAAGAGAACTCAACCTGGTAGGCACAATAATAAAATACAGAGCTTTATGCTTTTCGGTATCGAAAAATTCTAGGGGGTGACAGCATTAAAATTCCGACTTTACTTTTTGTGAGATACACATATGTATATTTCACTAGAAAAAAGCGGTTAATACAGTTAAAGCCGGGAATTTGGTGACTTACCAAAATTTCGTAGCTCGAACCGAATTCGTTGATAGTTTACTCTTACCTTACTATGACCCAAGGAATGAAACCGATTCAAAATAACGTTCCGGTTTGGGTTTCGG